TGAACAATTCAAGGTCTGAACCGACCTAAGCATAAAAATAGAAAGAGTTAAAGAAATATTAAGCATGACATAAATTATAGAAACCAGCTAGGAATATCATTGTTTATTACCTTATCAACATCTTTTCTTAAATTTTTAGTTGTTATATAATATCTTTCTTGTCATCTATTCCTATTGACTGCTTATTTCCAGATGAAGATGGAGCATTTACTGGATGCTCGGCCTGCATTTCAGCTTCTTCGAGGATGTATTCGACTTTATCCGGTAAAATCATTCTAGAAAGTTCTTCTGGGGCTTCAATCATGTTGGTGAACTGAGTAAAACAAAAATATGAGGGAGTTAGTCATCATATGTATAAAATTTGTAAATAATTTGTAGTTATATTGTCTGTACCATAAACATGTAGATTTGTTGTGTTAAGTATGTCAATATTTTGATATACCTTATACAAAAGAGAAAAACATTTACCTATATTTAAAAAATTGGGGTAAAAACTAACAACTGGACGTAATTTATATAATTTGTTTACAGAAAATAAAATTAACATCTACAAATAAAGAAAAATTAACCAATAAAACAAACTAAATCATGTAATACATATCCTAACAAAATTATATCAAATAATATACAAAAAATCTAAAATTCCAGAAATATGTAGAGAAAATGATAAACAATAAGAAATATATACAGTGTAAACAAAATTTCTACAATTAAAGAACAACAAAAAACAGGTATAAGATGAGAATAAAAATAACCTTTTAGCTAAAAATAAAAAACAAAAATTATAAGCACTACAGTGTTACCTTCTCTAGTGACTGTTGGGATATGTTTTTAGGAGATTTTTGAACCTTTTTACTTTTTGAAGGTTTGCCGGTAGGGGAAACTTTGATTTTTTTTCGCAAGTTTCGGAATAACTTTTTCTTCGACGAAATCATCATCACGAGCAATTTTTTTGCCCTGATTTAGCAGATGTCGAAGCTTCAGAAGTATCCCTGTCATGCTTGAGTTTTGTTCATGCCTCTGCCCTAGCTTCACGAGGGAAAAACTTGGACTTTCTCTCTGGAGTTGCATGTTTGGATTTCACCATTTTTTTTGGGTGAATTCTATAAGAAAGCACCCAAATCAAAAGTAGGAATATCACCATCAGTAGCTTTTCTAGAGCTTTTCTTCGGAGTTCCTTTCTTCTTCATCGTAAGGAAAGGAAAATTTAAAGCAATATCGATTTCGATTGGATTTTGAGAAAGAAATCAAAAAATTTGAGAGAGAAATTATAAAAGATTTTTGAACAAAAATGGAAGAGAGTATTAATGGAGGGACATAGTATCAAAATTGTGGGGGTTGTGGACAGAGAAATGTGGGGGAGAGTGGGTTATGTACATTAGCGTGATTAAAGGAGTTAATTGACATCTCATTTAATTCCTAAAATGTATATAATTGGTAAATTGTATATGTCAATGCTGTCACGACCCAAAATCCACTAAGGGTCGTGTTGGCGCCGGACACCACCGTCAGGCAAGCCAACCAAATTACTTAATTAAATTCTCGTTTTAATACTCTTGAAATCTATGATTTTCCTCCAAATTTACAAATAAAAAAGATAATCACTTCAATTCGAATTAAATGATAAGCAATTAATACAAAATACTTCATAACCATCCCAGAACCCGGTGTCACAAGTACATGAGCATTTTCTAAGAATTTGAATAAAGTACAACAGCTGTCCGGAACACAAATGGACAGAAAGTAAATAAAATTCTGAGAGAGACTATACTAGCTGCGGGCCGCCTCGAGGAAATACAACTCACCTAGTCTCCGGGTCGCCCGTGCTGCTACGCCCAATGGGCCAATAGAAATACTTGTACCTGTGCAACAAAATGCACAGCAAGTGTAGCATGAGTACGAAAACAACTTGTACTCAGTAAGTATCCCGCCTAATCTCAAAGAAGTAGAGACGAGATGGCAACTTCGGCACTTACTAATGGTCAAATAATAATATTATTAAAGTGATGACTCACGAGTTTATTAAGGACAGCAGTAGATTCAAATGAATTACTAAACAGGTAAAAGTTCCTTTTTATTAAAAGTCTCCGGATTCATAATCCATTAATTAACAATTATCTCAAGTCGGGGAGAGCAGATGTCAATATCAATAAATCTCAAGACAAGCAATTCAAACATGCGCAACTCATGCCGAGGTCGTACGGCCCGATCCAAAATAAATGTAAAATGTGCATTGCCGATGGTCGAGCGGCCCGAACCATAGATGCATCTATTACCCCGCTCGCGAATCATACATGCAACGCAGTCAAATTTTAAATAAACAATCACCCTGCTCGCGTACCATACATGCGACGCAGGTACACATAGAAATACATGCTCAAACAACAAATTAAGAATTTTACGGGAAACATTTATCCCATTAGAAGCCAATTCTCTTTTAATGACTTAAGAAAATAAAGTTTAATCCTCTTAGAAATTCATTTACCAAGTCGATAGGATTTAAGAAATTTAACTGTCAATAAGATTACAATTATTTCAAGTATAGCATGCTTTTGGGTCCTAGACTACCCGGACTTACACATATTAGTAGCTACGCACAGACTCTCATCACCTCGTGCGTACGTAGCCCCCACAAATAGGAGCAAATAACCAATTATTTTACCTATGGGGATAATTCCCTCTTACAAGGTTAGAAAGGAGACTCACCTCGCTCCGAAGTTCCAAAACCGGCATTCCACGCCCTTCCGAAGACTCAAATCGATGCACAATGATCCAAAACTAGCCAACAATTATGTAAACCCATTAATATATCCTCAAACACTCATAACAATTCAATTTATATCAATTCCCAACTCCGCTCGAAAAGTCGATAAAAATCACCCTCGAACCCACGACCCGAATTCCGAAAATTATTGAAAATAAATATTACCCATAACTCATTTGGTCTATATCTAGTAATTCAACCAATTTCGTCCATGAATCGACCCTCAAATCAAGGATTTGCCATTTTTTAACTTTGGGGCTCAAAATCTCAATTTTTACAATTCAAACACGGATAAAAATAGAAACCAACAGAAATAATCATGGATAAACATCAGAATAAAGGTCATATATTTACCCCCCTTGTTGAGATGAGAACAACTCCGCGAAAATCACCTCAAACGGAGCTCTAGAACTCAAGATATGCCCAAAATACTAAAATTCTCGGTTTAAAACACTGTCCAGGAGATTTTTCTTCATCGCCTTCGCTGCTTCGTGTTCGCGAAGGGAAATTTTTCGCGTTGACCGGTCAACCCAGAAATCCTTCTTCGCGTTCGCGGAACCCCTCTCGCGTCGCGAAGAACAAATCTTCACACCAGAAACTAGCAATTTTTCCAGACACGGAAATGAGCATAACTCCCTCATACGATGTCCAAATTAGACGATTCTTTTTTCTATGGCTCCGTAATTACGATACAGATCTAATGGTTCAATAAAAACTTAATTTGGAGCTCATTTGCTTAATATGGTACCCTTTATGTCCAAAGAAACGATGTTGAAACATCAATTAAGAGCGCGATACAACCCGAAACACACCCGAGGCCCCCGGGACCCCAACCAATCATACAAACCATTCCCAAAACACATTACAGACTTACTAGAGGCCTCAAATCATAGCAAACAACGCTAAAACCACGAATCGACCTCCAATCCAAGCTTTATGAACTTTAGAATTTCAAACTTCTACTTTCAATGTTTAAACCTATCAAATCACGTCCGATTGACTTCAAATTTTGCACACAAGTCATATTCGATATTACGGACTTACTCCAACTTTCGGAATCAGATTCCGACCCCGATATCAAAAAGTCCACTTCCGGTCAAATTTTTCAAAAACCTTCAAATTTCTATCTGTAGCCAAATGACTCCAAAATGACCCACGGACATCCGAATTCACTTACGATCGCGCTCCCAACTCCAGAATAACCATACGGAGCTGCTCCCAGACTCGGAATCCCAAATGGACATCAATAACACTGAAATACACTTCAATCCAAACTTATGAAATTTCCTCCAAAATGCTAACTTCCACAATAGGCGCCAAAACGCTCCCGGGTCATCCAAAACCCGATCCAGGCATACGCCCAAGTCCGAAATCATCATACGAACCTGATGGAGCCTTCTAATCCCAATTTTGAGGTCGTTTACTCAAAAATCCAATCCTAGTTGATTCTTTCAACTTAAAGCTTCCGAAATGAGAGTTCTCCTTCCGAATCAACCCCGAACTTCCCGAAATTCAGTTTCGACCACGCGTACAAGTCATAATGCCTGAATTGAAGCTGCTCATGGCCTCGAACTGCTGAACGGTGCGCTAGGGCCCAAATCGACCGTCGGGTCGTTACAAATGTAATTAACTTGAAACTTGAGTAGGGAGGGTAATAATGTTTCATATAGTGTATAGGAAGGTAAAAATCCCTTTCACCTTTTCCTAATATCATTATTTATTTGTTGGTTTCCATTTGTTACTAATCCCGCTGTCTCAAATTATCTGTCGTGTTTCTCTTTTACATCCCCCTTAAGAAAATATTAAATAAGAGAGATTTTTAATTGTTTTACCCTTATTTATGTATTAACATATAATCTTTCTTCATTTAATATTTATTAATAATTGAGGTATTTGTATTATTCAAGAAAAATTAATATTAAGGATGAAATAGGAAAAAATAATTAATTTAATTTTGAACTTCTAAAATTACAAATAATTTGAGACAACTATTTTAAAAACTACGACATATAGGGAGTTCACTTTTTGTTATAATTTGTTAATTTTGGCATAAATTGAATTAATAGGAGGTTCAAGAAAGAAAGAAATACTTTTAAAATATTGATCTTAAATATGCTATAATTATATATGAATATAAAAGTAAAATTGATAAGTTCGAAGTTAATTTTTTCCAAATGTATAATAAATATGTAAGAATTAACATGTAAAGAGCATAGATCTCTTATAGAAGAGAGAGAGAGAGAGAGGGAGAGAGAGAGAGAGAGACACGCAATCACAGTAACACTTCGCACTCTTTCGTCTTCTCCAATCTCCACCGGTAAAATCCACTTCCTCAAACATCTATTTTGTTTACGTATTTTCGTTTTCATCTCAAAGTTCAATTATAGTTGCAACCATCTTTCTTAGGGTTAATTTTTATTTATTTATTTATTTATAATCTCTGTTTTGAACTTTGAAATTGTGAAACCTTCCGATCATGAGTTCAATGTTACTTCTGATATTTCGATTTTGCTTGTTGTAATAATTGTGTTGCTCTACAAGTAATAGGCTTAACATTAGTCTTGGCCCATCTCCAAGGAGTGCTAATCTTGACGCCTTTCTAAATGGACTGGAACTTCTGAAAGTTGAATAATTCTTGGCGCAGCCTTACAGGTAGCTTCTGTTCCTACTAATCCTAGCTCAAGCACAAAGAAAAATATCGGAGTTATTGTGGGTCTGAGCAGTGGCGTGAGATTTTTCTCTAAGCAGCATTCAACATTTAAGGAAGTGACAAGTGAACAAATCACTTGTTGCTCTATACTCCAACACACCATCGAGGAATAAAGCGAGGCAATTGACCATACAGTTTTCTTTGAAAAAAATTGTGATTGCGTGGTAGAAAATGACATTTTGAAGATATGCTCTCTTTATTGCATCATGGTCATTATGATGATATTTTCGAATTGCTAATCTTTTCCCAAATTCAGCTTTTTAGGAATTTAAGTCAACTCCTTCGCTTTGTCGACATTGTTCCAACTCATTGATCTTCCATGTTAGGATGAATTTTGAGAGGTTGAACCTGGATTCGGAAGCTTGGAAGATGCTTTAGAAAAATATCTCTCCATTGAAATTTAAGTTGAATGACTAGTTAAGATATCAACTTAGAAAAATCTTAAATAATTTTCATATAGTTCAACCCACAAAGGAAAATGTGAAAATACGGACCCAAAAGTTGTTCTTGAGGAAAGGATTGCCTAAGTCCATATAAGAAGACAACCAGTTCATTCCCCAACTAATGTGGGACTCTAACCCACTCCACCCCTCGCACACCCATACCTGCCAACTAGAACATGGACAATGTAACATGGGGACCTAGGGACGGACCTGGCTCTGATATCATGTGAAGATATGGCCCTTGAGCCTAACTCAGGCCTAGAAGCTAGCTCATAGGGGAGGATTGCCCAAGTCTATATAATGAGACAACCGGTTCATTCCCCACTCAATGTCGGACTCTAAACCACTCTAATAGAGAACAATGGATGTTTTCAAAACATTCCAACTAGAAAGAAGGAAAAAAAAAACTCTCACAATGGAAATGGCAGGAAGTAGCACACTAGTCCCAAAAACTACAAAGTTGAAGAGGAGAATGATTTGGTTTTTTAAAAAGTTAACCCAGTTTGATTTTTTTTTTTTTTTTCAAATATTAGTTTTGCGAACGAAAGGGGCTCTTGGTCCATTGTTTTAGTTGTTTAACTCTTGCTATGAGGTCAGCATTTCAAGCCTCGCTGACATCTCTTTTATGCAGTTAAACAAAAGGCTCAAAAAGTTTAAACACGTCATACACCAAGGATCGAACACTCGACCTCTCTAAGAGGATAGACGGTCTTCACCTGCAAGCCAAGGGGAGGGGGATGACAAGCGGTGTCATTTTATTCTATTTATACTGTATTTTCTTTTTTGCATGTTATTTACACGTATATTTGCATCCGCCCTGGGTGTGAGGGTAGTGTACCAATTGCTGTGCTGATGGTTGGCAACTTATTTTGCATTCATAGAAGAAGAAAACAGGAGTAGCTTGCCCAGTCAAAGACATGGATTCCTTTATCTATTAATGGTGGCACTCTACAGTCCACACATACCATGGGAAGCAAGCATTCAAAGGGGACAACGTCCATAAGTGCTGCTTCAACCTCGAGTCATCGCATTCCTATTGAAAATTATCAAGTTCCTTTTGCAGCTTTGCAGGAAGCAACTAACGACTTTGATGAGAGTTTGGTCATTGGAAAAGGTGGCTTTGGAAATGTTTACAGGGGTGTTTTGTGTGATGGCACAAAGGTGGCCCTGAAAAGGCTTAATTCTAAGTCCCAACAAGGTCTTGCAGAGTTCCGAACAGAAATTGAGATGCTCTCTCGGTTCCGCCATCCACATCTGGTTTCATTGATTGGATATTGTGATGAAAACAACGAGAGGATTCTAGTTTTTGAGTACATGGAGAATGGGACCCTCAAGAGTCATTTGTATGGGTCAGATCTACCCAGTATGGGCTGGGAGCAGAGGCTGGAGATATGCATCGGGGCAGCCAGAGGTCTGCACTACCTTCATACTGGCCATGCCAGTGCAGCTATACATCGTGATGTCAAGTCCGCAAACATATTGCTTGATGAGAATTTAGTGGCAAAAGTTACTGATTTTGGACTATCCAAGACAGGGCTTGAGCTTAATCAAACCCATACTAGCACAGTCGTGAAAGGAACTTTTGGCTACCTTGATCCTGAATATTTTAGAAGGCAACAGCTGACAGAAAAATCTGATGTTTATTCTTTCGGTGTTGTTTTATTAGAAGTTCTTTGTGCTAGGACTGTCATAGCTCCATCTCTTCCGAGGGAGATGGTCAACTTAGCTGAATGGGCAATGAAGTGGCAGAAGAAAGGACAACTGGAACAAATCATAGATCCCAAACTTGTGGGCAAAATAAGACCAGATTCCCTCAGGAAGTTTGGAGAAACAGCAGAGAAATGCTTAGCTGAGTTTGGTCAAGATAGGCCATCCATGGGTGATGTGCTGTGGAGTCTGGAGTATGCACTTCATCTCCAAGAGTCTACCATTCATGATATTCCTGAAGAAAACAGTACCATCCCTGTTGGCGAGCTCTCTCCGCAAGTCAATGATTTCAGTCATATTAATGCCAGTGCTTCTGCTTCTCATATCTGGATGATCTCATCAAATTCGGATGATCTCTCTGATGATGAGTAGGGCTTTCTCGCAATTGGTTAAGTCCTACGGTAGATAACTAAGTGAAAATGGTACATACCGTCCTTAGGTGTTTGTTAATTCCACTTCTGTTCATGTATCATATGAAGATTGATTTTTTTGTTTTCATAACAGTTTATTCTACGAGTTTCTGTAGATCCTCCTTTCATTTTATTGGGTGTGTCCGGTTGTTTTGTTGTTGTATATGGTTTCTAAGAATTTCTTCATACATATGAAATCATTCCATCAATATCATGTCACTGAAAAGTCTTTTAAAGACATGGAACAATTTTGAGCCTCTGGGAAGACCTGATAACATAATCCTTCGATACTTATTTTCCCTCATAATGTCGCAACCTTGAGAAAACAAAAACATGGTAATCCATTTTCTTCTTTTAAACAGGCAAAAGGAAGTTGGCATTGCATACCTCTTCTGAGATGATGGGCCCTCACATTTCTCTGGATGTTTTATATGTTTGAGATACTGAGTGATACTGCAGTATTAGTGGCTGCGAAATAATGTAAAATGTAACATCAAAGCTTCTTTTCTTCCCTTTTTTCCATTAATTGGCAATAGCCAATAGGGATGGCAGGGTTAGTTCGGTAATATGATTGATTTATTTTGATACTTGTCTTTCAATTACACAGTATTAATGATGTAAATACAGTTTCCCATTCTCATGAAATGTTTTTCTTAACAAGTGATAGGTTTGGGACGGTGAAGTTACATCCTTTTTGGTCAGTCTCTTTGTTTGCTCCGTGTCTTCATCCATGTGTCAACCTTAACAGTGCTTTTTCTCAACCATTGTCATATGGTCACATGTTTTACAACGTTTGACATTCTTATCATGAGCTTCCTACACTGAGTGAGGACGTTTGTTTGTTTGTCAAGGATCCATTAATATGGGAATTTGTTTTTAGCAAGTGTCAGTACTCCAGTCATCCTACAAACCTGCAACATTATGATTATTCTTCTTCATAAATATGAAATAAATACCACATACAGGAACACTTAAAATAGAAGCCAAATATGAAGGGCGAGCACCTAATTGACTGAGAAGTTGCTTCAATTCTAGGTGGAGCATATGATCAAGGAGAGACTCGTGAAAAGTTACAGCATCTCGAGCAGGTAGCTTCTAGATGTCATACAAGATTACGAAGTGGCTGGCGTTAACAGGTTCATCAGCTTCTCTTTTTCTCCTTCTTTCCCTATTTTTCTTTAGCTAAAAGTTCTTATGCGCTCTGGCAGTGAAGCTGTAAATGCACTGCTACGTTGTTCTTCAAAAGAATGGTATAGAATAGCTAATTATGAGAGATACTGACTAAGAGGACCAACAATTCATCAGCAAACAAAATAAAGAAAAAAAAAGAGATCATTACTGGCGAGCAAGAACATATATGACTTGAATGATTAACTAATCTTTTTTCTTTTTGGACAAAGTAATAAAATTTTATTAATGTTTGGCAAAAAGCGTCCATGTTGTGAATACAATCTTCGACGAAGCTGACAAGGCGGATGAGTTGGAAGCTGATATGGCAATTGAGAATGAATTGGGTAATGAAGTGATGAAAGGCAATCTGGGTAGAGGCAAACGCAAGAAACAACCACCTGCAAAGCTAATGGATTATGTAGTGAGTGCTAAATAAAAGTGTGTGGGCCAGGAGTTAGTTATATATAGCAGACGTAGGCATTGTAGTGATTTAGGAAAAAGTTGTTATGAAAATATTCCCTTCTCATCCCACTCCTCTGTATCTCTGATCTCATCCCCTTCTTCTGCTTCTCACCTCCAGCTTCTTCTTATTGTCATTGCTACGGTCCATATACAAGAAGTATACCAAAAAGTAAAAAAATTACAAAAGATTGGGTTTCTATGAACTGACACCCAATCTTGTAATCGTAAAGGAACTTCATGGGTGCACCAAAAGGACATAAGGGATAAGAGGCTCCTCAATCGTACAAAATTCAACTCAAAACCTCTCATGCTCCTTTCTCTCCAAAACGACCCACATAAGTGCAAGCGGCGCAACATTCCACACCTTGCGTCTTCTCTTTCTTCTATCACAATTCAAGCTAAACATTATGTTGAAGGAAGTTAGTGACAGTAATTAGGTTAAGGATGTAATTAGTTAGAAGTGTAGTTAGTCGGTTAGTTAGAGTAACCTTAAAGTTCATATGATGAAAAGAGAGGGTGTAAGTTAGGAGTGTAGTTAGTCGGTTAGTTAGAGTAACCTTAAAGTTCATATGATGAAAAGAGAGGGTGTAAGTTAGAAGTGTAGTTAGTTAGTTAGAGTAACTAAGTACAATTAGAAGCAACTGTCAATAGGTGGTAGTTACAGATATGTTGTAAAGATTTTCACATTCTTCTCAGCTTATTATTTCTCTTCTTCTCAGAAAGGATACATACTCAATGATTTACAATTGAAGTGTCGAAGTGTTGATGTTATCTTCAGTGAAGATGTGTTTCCCTTTAAACAAAGTCAGCTGATTGTTCTCCTTTATTTCCAATCCTAGACTTTGATGATTTAGGCACTGATTCTGCAGTTTCTGAGTTGCAAACTCAACCTCAAAGCACCTGTCCCTCTGCAGATAACTCACCAGGTCCTGGACATCCACACTATCATCCCATCCCTCTATCAGTAGTTAAGCCTAAAAGAAGTTACTTTCTCTCTCTCACTGATCCTCTCTTCGAGTTCATCTTCTCCATTTCTTTGTCACAACTGAGCTTCTCAACACATTACCTTTTTCACAGTGCCTGGTATCACTCAAAGTACCTCAAACCAGTGGCGAAGTCAGGAATTTTCTGAAGGGTGTTCAAACTTGAAATAAGTAAACAAAAAATTCCAACAAAGTGTGTTCTATATATGTTATATACCTCTAAAACTAAATATTTTTACTTATATACGTAGTGTAATTTTCCGACAAAGCATGATCAATTGACCACCTTAACTTAAGTGTGGCTTCGCCCCTGCCCCAAACCATCTGGGGGGATTCCAGCTATCGGAGAGTCAATTACTCAAATGATCACTCAACAATCCCAAATTATCTCCTAAAGTCACTTTTCTTTCTTTTGTAATAACAAAGTCACTAGACTATGCCTATTGCACTCAGAAGGCCACTCAACTAGATTTTTCAAATTTTGGATTGCCAAATACCTATTTTACCCTATATATTATAAATATTTATCTTCTTTTATTATTTTTTTTAACTTTTTAATATCATGGTTTTCCCTTTTTAATTTATATTATGGACTTATTACCTATAGAATAAAAAAATATTATTTATAAATAAAAAAAATAAAAAGTATTTAAGCATCTATAATGCTGGAATAACAAAATAATGAGCATAGTAAAAAATTAATTAGAATAGTTTGTCGGTGATAATAATTTTAGTATTAACTACAAAAATTCAAAAATTTATTTACACAATTCAGAACGAAAGAAAATAAAGGTTGTAAAATATATATTCCATGCACGTACTATAAAAGTAACTATTTAAATAAAAGTATTTTTATAATACACATTATATACTCTTAGGGCCCGAAGATGTTTCCTGCCATGACGAACAACCGGCGAGTGTACCCGAAGGGTCCGGTTCCGAGGCCCTTCAAAAGGGAGAGAGTGCCCCAAGTGACTTTCTTGTGGCAATAAATATTGATGATTCGCTGCCCGACCCCACATTTTCTGAGGGGAATTTTGGGAGGCTTAATCTATAGAGACCTCCGATGCAGGAACTACCCACGAAGGAGATGACATATTCCGTGGCTGCTTCACGGGGTCGATGATGTTTCCGACCTGGATGCAACGATCATTTTTTATGAGGCTCAGCGACTCATGAGCCAGGTAAATTTCAGCTATGGTTATTAGGTTTATGTTTGTTTTTATTTCCTTTTGTCTGATTTCCTTCCTTTTTCCACAGGCTATGACGCTTCATCAGGAAGCATTTTCCAAATCCCAAGTCGAGCTGAACCGGTGTGAGGCCGATCTAAAAAGACTCACGGAGGAGAGAGACGCCCTAAAACGCCTCTATGTGCAAAAAGAAGAGGAGATCAGGGACCTCTGAGCTGAATTGGCAACAACCCATAAAAAACAGACTGATCTCATCGAACATGTAATGTAGGTTTTCAGGAGCTTGACATATCAATTTGATATTGGTGACTAACACTTAGATCCTGTAGGTTCAGCAGAAGGCCGAGAAAATCGAGCAGCTTCGCGAGGAGGCAGAGATAAAAGAGGCAGAGACTTTGGGGTGGAAGCAGAACATGGACCGTCTTGCCTTGGAGAAAGATACGATACAAGCCCAACTCTCTTCGGTTGAGCGTGAACTCCAAAGCGTGAAGGAGGAGAGCTTGGCCCGAGCCAAGAAAATTGAGGAGCTCGAATCTAGGTTGGCCGCTGATCTTGCAAAATCCAAATCTGAGGTGGAAAAAGTAAAGGCCGAGGCCGAGGCGGTCGTGGCCATCTACCGAGCCAATACTGAAGCCGCTAACTCTCGAGCAAAGGACAATTCCGATGCTGCTGAGGTTCGGTTATCCTGTGTTGCCGGTCATGCTAAGTGCCAGTCTCGGAGAGAGACTCTCGAAGAGATTCATGCTCGTGGCTTTGACCTCACAATCGATATCGAGAATGCGAAAGTGTTAGAGGCCGAAACCGAAGCTTTGATCTCTGATGATGATGAGTCCGGGAGCGCAAGTGGATCCGAGAGCGTAGAAGATGAAGCTCCCGGGGAAGATTAGGCACTTAGAACTTTCTTCTTCTTTTTGTTTTTTTGTGTAAGACCCTGAGTGGTCTTTGTAAATACTCTCGTATATATGAAAGATCCTTTTTCTTTCTGATTAGTCTCTGATCTTTGTTTTGAAAACTTTGTTTTGTTTTTGCTTTATGATAATTTCGATATACTTTAGGCCTTGTGAGAATTTTAACTCACTTTGTTGCCTCGTGAAGATTTTGTTGAAATCAGATTGTTATAATTTCTATAATCGAGTGAGTACCTGCTCGAACTCGGAGTGGTAAAACCCCTTGGGTTTTGGTTAAGCAAGGGGCGAGCCCTCGAGCTCAATAATGTAATGGCCCTTAGGCCTTTAATCGGGTCGATACGACTTCAAAATAGTGGCTTGTTCCCTTTTTCGGCTTAAAAGTTTAATTTGTTATGCCTTAGCATGAGATAAATCTATACCCATTAGGATTTAGTGTTGTCAAAAAACT